GAATTTGGTGGAAAGTTCGCAGACGTATCCTCCGAAAGGATTTTTGTGACAGTCAATGGATTAGAGAATCCCTTCCTATATTTCGTTCCTGCCTATTGTACATAACGTCCCATTCTGTGCTGTGGACATGCTACAGTCAACAAAGTAGTCCATCTGCCCTCAGGGAGGGGACATTCAGGAGTGAACAGCTAGTCTTCCGTAGTGTCTGTCATATTTTGGCACTCACTCAGAGCGATGAAACTAAAACTGGTGATGTGTATAACAACCAAAAAATGGTTGGAGAAGAACGGACCAAACTGACTTTGTACTAGCAGCCTTTGTAGTCATCTGACAAAATGAACTGCTCATTCACATTTATAGACATGTGTACAGACTGATACAAAATCCATAAATGGAAATAAAAAATGGAAGTAAAAAGCACACATCTTTTATTTTAAAAAAAAGGAATAAAAATAAAATAAAAAATAAAAATGAAATTTAAAAAAAGGAAAATGAAAAGTGGGCCTAATTTTTAAAATAAAGAATATGGTTTTATGTTTAATATCTACTGGGAAAATGCATTCAACTGTGCTAAGATTAGTCATTCTACTTGTACAAAAGCGTGGGAAATGATCACGTGTTAATTTCTGCTGACCTCTTTTATGTTAAACCATGTAAAGTCCTCTTTCAATTATGAAGCTGATTTGATTTACTAAGAGTTTAGATTAGAAATGTAGGAGCTGGATTGAAAACCAGATTATAAATCATTTCAGTGTGACATTTGGATAAAATATAAAGATAATCTGAGTTTATTTATGATGTCCTGTCAGGGAAATTCAAGAGAATTAACTTTCTCATGACAGTTCTAAAAATAATCATTTCTGACCACATTAGAAATACTGTATTTCCACATGAAGTTTGTCCATTTCATACCCTATTTTGATATCTAGCTGAAACTAAGGAGGACCAAAAAAATTACAATTATTTTAAAAATGGAGTGTTGTCAAAGACCATGTAAAATATAGGAGAAGGCATAACCCTTTACATTGTAGAGCACACGTTCCATTGCACATGGACACCTGTCGGGGGAGCTTTTCAGAAAATTCTTAGGTCTGGGTCTTAATCTGGATGCATCAAATATGCGGCCCCAGAAGTGGAGCCCAGGCGTCGGTACTCGTTCTAAACTCCCCCCAGGTGATCCTAATGTCCAGTTGCGGCTGAGAACCACGCTCTAGAGGCGTGACCTTGGGCAAGCAAGGTTAAGGGAAAGCTCTGAAGACGGCCCTGAGCAGGAGCTGATGATGCAAATGGTTTACCTCTCTGACAGGATTCTGCGAGTACTACAGAAGAAAAGGCTAAAAAGTTCCTTGAAATTAAATAAAGCCCCAGAACAGCAGTGGTGAGTGACTACGAGGCCGTTCTTTGAACTAATCCTGTTTGGATCAGAGCTGAAAGTATCCGGGTATTACCGCCTCTGTTGGGTGCTGCCTCTGCAGCAAAAGCACATCAGGCAGTGGGCAGGAGAAACTCCTATGAACGTGTGTGTTCGAGCCCTTATCAGAATTAGTTTTTATTCCTCACATGGAAGAATAATTGTTTCATGACTTTGTGAAATTTCTTCATGCTCGTGCATTCTTCCTTTTGTGCACATCTTAGGACACAAAAGCACAAATAGAAGAAACTTAGTCAAACCACAGTTGAAGCTTGGACTGTTTTTTAACTTACTGACCCCATTATCAGCACACATTTCTGGGCTGTGTGTTGAGGGGGCATAAGGGTGAACAAGGTGGGGTACTGGCAACGATGAATTAGGTTATTATTAAGTCCTAGAAGTAGGATCGTTGCAAGGAAAGGAATGTAGTCGTGTTCGCCATCACCAGAGAAACAGAACCAGTAGGGTCGGTAGGTGGGTAGATAGATAGGAGATTTATTATAGGAATTGGTTCCATCCCTGAGGAGGCAAAGTCCCATGACCGGTAAGCTGAAGAACCAGGAAAGTGGACAATGTCATTCGGGTCCAAGGCCTGAGCAGCAGCTGGTGGGAAGGGAGGGGGTGATTGGTGTAAGTCCCAGAGGTCTGAGAGCTTTGCAGACACAGACACAGAGAGAAAAATGCTAGAGCGAAGTGACCTTGAGAAAGTAGGAACATTAGTGGTTTGGCTCTTTTGTGTGAGACTCTGAGCAATGAAGATTCCCTGGTGTCACCTGGTGGGCCTGATGGGATATGGAATCATGTATGGCCCCAGAAAACTGCTTAACACCACCGTTTCTGTGGTTATCATTGTAAAATTTACAACTGAAAGAGCTGAGTTAAGAAACAGGCACTAACAATTGACATATAGAACTTTTTGGCCCTTTTCATCGAGCAGTTTACGTGATCTTTTGTGGCTCTGCGTTTATTTGAACTCCAGGATGGCATCTCTGGAACAGTAAATTTGTTTCTAAATATTGGGTATAATTGATGATGTAATCGTGATGACCGTGCCCATGAAATATGCCACATTTGAGGAGCACTGAGATGTTGTTTGTGACCTCCTTTTTCTCTTAACCTTAATTTTCCTCTTGCTCAGCTGCCTTAGTTAACCAAGGGACAATAATTTTAGAAGGACTTTGGTATTTTCCGATAAGATATTTTACTGAAGTGTCTGTTGTGATAAGTAACAGGAATTTCACGTTCGGGTAGACAGTCTACCACTTATCCATTTTGACATTAGTAAAAAAAATTTTAAGTAACTGGCAGTCTTGGTGAAAAGTCCAAACTGAAAATGGCATCACAGTGAAAGTTAAAGTTTTGTGTGTGTCACTTTTCACTTTCCTTCCATTGTGTTGGCATCATGAAACCACAGTAACAATTCTGTCAGACCTTCCCCACCCAGCACTCAGAGTTGTCTTTATCCCCTCCTTTGCTCTCTTTCTTCCTTTCTTTTTTCCCTTTCTTTAATTTTTGTAAAAGATTCTTTATCTGAGAGGAGGAGGGAGAGAACACAAGCAGGGGGAGAGGCGGGGAGAGGGAGAAGCAGGCTCTCTGCTGAACTGGGAGCCCAGCATGGGACTTGATCGGAGGACTCTGAGATCATAATCTGAGCTGAAGGCAGCTGCTTAACCCACTGAGCCATCCAGGCGTCCCCTTTGTTAATTTTAACAAAGAAGCCTTATGTTTCCATCTGGACCACCTTTTATCAAGGTTTGGGCTGCAGCGGACTTCCTTTTCATGCCAGGCTGACATTGCTTATCAACCGCAGCATTCTCTTTTTCAGGCCTCTTCTTACTTGTTCTCAAGTCCAGTGCTCCCGCCAGCTGCTACCAATCGGCGGAAGTAGTCCCTATTCTGTAAGAAATCTGGCCAGAAAAACCGTAGGCAGGTTCTATTGTAATAAGGTCCCAGACCCTGAGGATTACCTGGGGGTAGTCGGGGCCTCACCTGGACCTACTGAGTCAGAATCTTCAGGGAAGACACTAGGAAACTTTGTTCAGTTCAGCTGTGTTGAAGCGTTTTACTGTTTGTCCTGAACATTTTGGAGAAGAAAAAAAATGTACACAAACATCTTTCTATTTCTCCTGGAAAACAAAATTCTTCCTGGAAAAACTACATGTCTCTAGGACATTTACTGCAACTAACATAACTTGCAAAATATCAGCCTTATGTACATAGGCATAAATGAGGAGTTTGCCCAGGAAGCTTTATCTAGAGGTCAAGGTTCTAGGAGACAGGGTGCCAAATGATTTAGAGAATGGTCACTATAAATGTATGATAACGTGGTACCAGTGACTGGTGTTCAAAATTAAGTAAACGAACCCAAGTTCCGCACCCTTAGCCAGCCTGATGCAAATGCAGTTCCCTTTGGAATTAAGCGCAGGTGGAAGGGAACTGTCCCAGGGCAATTGAAGGGGGTGGGAATGAAGTCTGCAAAAGGATTCTGAGGGTACTACATCTTACTCTCCCCCCAGATCCCTTTTTAAAAATCATGTTAATGGGATCCCAGCTAGAAAGCAAAGAAGTCACTCTAGCAAAAGAAAAAAAAATTACCTTTGGGAAGATCACTTTTCCTGGTACAGTTTAGAAGTGCTCTGTTGGGGACGCCTGGGTGGCTCAGTTGGTTGGACGACTGCCTTCAGCTCAGGTCATGACCCCGGAGTCCCGGGATCAAGTCCCGCATCGGGCTCCCAGCTCCACGGGGAGTCTGCTTCTCTCTCTGACCTTCTCCTCGCTCATGCTCTCTCTCACTGTGTCTCTCTCAAATAAATAAATAAAATATTTAAAAAAAAAAAAAAAGTGCTCTGTTGCCCAGCAGGAATACTTACATTTGACTTTCTGGCTCTTCATATTTGCCAAAATGCCTTCTGGTGTGTTTTATTTACTACTGAAATAATCTGTTTTTTCAGGTCTTTTTTATTTTGTTCAATATAGTCATCATAAACTAAATGTAAACCATAGGGCAGTTTGTCTTAAATGCTAGGGATTATTAATATGCTCATTAGACACAGCGACTTTCCCTGTGCTTGTTATCACCTTCCAGCTTCTATAAACTGAGACTTAAGCACTGAGGGCCATATTGTTCTCATTTCTCCCCTAAAGTCTCAGTCCAAGAAATGTCTTAAAAAGTGCTCAGGCAATGTTGCCTGTAATGCTAGACACATGATCAAAGCAAAGGTGCAAATTCTTTGCCGCAGATGACACTGCAGCTGCTTCTGCACAGCCCGTGTTGGGTTAAACTGGTCTCTCACCACCTCCTTCCCCTAACCTCATCCCCAGTCATGTTGGTCACCCATCTCCCCAGGATGTTACCTGCTAGAGGTCATTTCTACAAACACAAAACACCAGGTGTGAGAACCGTCCTGTTGCCCCGCATAACTCACTGTTACCCCCATCAAGTAGGAGGTGACAGTGAAGGAGGCATCAAGGGCATTTTGTACATGGCTGAAGGAGAAAACTTGGGGATAAGCATTTTATTATCTCTGCTGTCTTAGAATAACATGGTTTCAAGATAACTAATGACACATTGTATTTTCAAATGCTGTAGGTAGCCCTAATGGAGAACCTTGTGGAAAGACTTGTCTGGAAGAAAGAGACAATCAGTGGCTGGGGGTCACGCTTTCCAGACAGCCAGGAGAAAATGGATCCCTCGTGGTAGGTTATTAGGGTTTGTCCACTGATAACATTGTGGATTCAGATATTCTGGGTGTGATGTTCACATCATTTGGTCTACTTTTGTTTTATTTAGACTTGTGGGCATAGATGGAAAAACATATTTTATATAAAGAATGAAAATAAGCTCCCTACAGGTGTTTGCTATGGAATGCCCTCTGATTTACGGACAGAACTAAGTAAAAGAATAGCTCCATGCTATCAAGGTAAGGAATCATTTTGATTTTAACTGGGTCAAGAGAAACAAGTGAATGCCTTTAATTTTTTTTTTTTTAATTTTCAATTTTGCATGTAGGGGATGGGGGATAGACCTTTAAAATAGCTGTATTCTTTTTAACTACTCGAGTATTTTTTTTTTTTTTTTTTTTTTTTTTACTCAATTGCTGTAGTAGTTGCAAAAAAATGTGCTTTATGTTTTTAGGAATAGAAATTTGTCCAATTACATTTGAATAATTCTAGAATGTAGTTGATAATTATCCACTTTTACATTAAATACATTTTTAATTCTGTAAAAGTCTAATGCTCATCATATACCACTTAAAATCATGAAATTATGATTGAAAATTTGAGATTGTAAAGTCTGACAAGAACGATGAGAACTGTTTAAATTTTTTGCTTTATCTTTAGCTTCCAAGAATATTCAAAGATTCAATATAAATGTAAGCAAATCTTTCCCATTCACTGTGCCTTTTTTTTTTTAATTCGCATGAATTCCTTGATAAGGGATTGGTATCTTAAGTTTGAAAAGATTTCCCATGAACATTCTAGGCCATAAGTAGCAGTAGTATATTCAGAGAGCTAGGACATAAGCAGTTAAAGTGGGAAAAATTAGGGGTGAATGTCAACAGAGCATTAAAAACAAATCTTTAACAGAACTAAAATTCTAAAAATGTCTTTGGAGAACTCAGAATTAAATATATATATATTCCATTTTCTACTTTTTTCTAACCAAAATGATTACTACAGTATCCAAAGAATATTTCTATTATTTGACAAAATTTTGACCATGTGTGCGAATTCATATGGGGGTCCTCTGTGGTATGTGATGTCTAAGAAAAGCTCATATAATATTTCTAATTTGCCTTTGAGTGTTAAGAATACAAAAGGTGAATTTTTAAATTCTTAATCAAAATAAAACTCAGTCTAGTGTTCTGTATGTTTATCATTCTCTTTTTCTTAATGGTTTATAGTTTATACTTTAAAACATTTTCAGAATAGAATTTTTTTATTCGTATATCCCCAGCCACATTCTACAAAAAAATTCAAGATGGAATAAACTTATAGCACCTAAAACAATGGGGAAATGTATTAAAAAAAAAAGGGAAGCTCTAAAAGGGGTGAAAAATCATGGCCAGGACTAGTATTTACAAATGACTTAACAATTTACTTAATTTTTCTGGTTAGCAAAGCCAAAACAAAGATGTGGTCCTGATTCTTATTTTTATAGAGGTTGCTTAGGTCAGTTCTTCAGGAGAAGCAGGGCTTTCTCTTCCTAGTAAGTTCCAAAAGCATCCAGCGCATGAGGGCTTTGTAGTACGAGACCCGCCATCTCCATGCAGATCTTAACTCCCTCTTACGTTCAGCTGGGCACAATTTAGGAAGCCTATTTTAAATGCAAACCTGGACTGGGAGCTACAAGTCCTACATCTATCTTAGACTTGCACTTGACAGTGGTTTTGAGTGTATGCTGCATGTTCCTCCCATGAAAAAGAGGTAGAGATACATCTTTTTATTGCTGTTTTGGAGGGATGTCTTTGAGGATTAATATGAAAGATTTGTGATATTACATCTTATCAAAGTGATGATTTTAAAGATGAGAGAGTATAAAATATAGACCTTAAAAGGTCTATTTGTAAGGATTTAGAAGATTAACAAAATTATGCAAATTTTGCCTATTTTTTCAATGAAATCCTGAGTTGTTTTTCTACTTTATTCTAGATTATGTGAAAAAATTTGGAGAAAATTTTGCATCGTGTCAAGCTGGAATATCTAGTTTTTACACAGAGGTAATAGTCCAAAAAACAGCCTTTAAAGGTTTACATATTGGATTTTGATTCTTAAGATTGAGACTGTGATATTATGCTTTACAGTTAATAAAAACTCTCTTAAAATTGAGTGTATTACAACTTAATTTTTACTACTCAGTATTCCACATATACTTTGAAAAAAGCTTAATATTTAAGAAGACTGTGTCATGTAAGACCAACTAAAAGTCTACACTAAAGAATACTACCTGCATCAAGAATTTTTTATTATGTTCAATTAGCCCACATGTAAGTACATCATTAGGTTTTGATGTAGTGTTCGATGATTCATTAGTTGCATATAACACCCAGTGCTCATCATTTGATAGGAATCAAAAGTAGCTATTGTTATTTGCTTTAACGTAGATGTTTAAAATTTCTATCCAGATATGTTACTTTTAATTACTAGTTGAGGGAGAAAAGCATATCTACATGTAGATGTAGAAAGAATCTACATCTTTCATTTAAATTATTAGAAATAAGAGATTTAAAAATTTATTGTCTTAAGTTAGACATGTTCACAAGCTCTATTTTTTTTCCTCTAACACTCAAGGATATACAATCAAATATCATAGTTGTATCCAACCCCCAAATCTCCCAGTTTTCCTTCAAAACCCATTGAGAATTTATGACTGTTTTCTGAATCTGTGGTCAAGCTGTATCAAGCCTTGGGTCAATAATTTCCATAAATATTATTTATTATTTTTTTTAAAAAAAAAGACTTTATATTTAAATTGACCTTTATAAGAGTTCAGTATTGTTTAGGAAATGTAGAAATATGTTAAATACATTTGGTTGCTAAAAGCTTTAATATTTCACTGAATATATCTGTTCATTCTAATTTTCCTTTTGTTTCCTTTTCCTAAATTTGGATTTATCACCAAATATGCCCCCAAATTCCACTGGATTTCTTTTTTTCTAAGCTAACATTGTTAAGAAAATGTCAATGGCTCTTTGCAAATAGGGATAAATTAAGTCCACTTTTTACTCTTTGGCAAACATGTGATTCTCTCCATAATAAACACTAATGAATTACCCAGATACCATTCACTTTAACAGAAACCACATTGCCTGTCTCCTAAAAGCTTAGTCTAGTATTCCATGATTCTTGCTTCAATTTTAAAGTCCACTGCTAAGTGAATGAAGTGAGAGTTTCTTTTCTGAAATTGTGCTTGTAGGCGAAAATATGTTAACTGACTTCTTCTGGCTTTTTTCAGATATGTTTTTAAATTCATCAAATTTCAGATTTTAGAAATGTATTATAAAAATATTCTCATCACTATTTACTTAAAATGTATATCTGGAGGAGGTTTGGAGTGGATTAAACTTTGAGTTGGTAATAAATTGTTTTTTATTTTTTGTTTTTTGTTTTTGTCTTATAGGACTTAATTGTGATGGGAGCCCCAGGATCATCTTATTGGACCGGCTCTCTTTTTGTCTACAATATAACTACAAATAAATACAAAGCTTTTTTAGACACAAATAATCAAGTTAAATTTGGAAGTTACTTAGGTACTGTAAAAATTGACAAACTCCAATCATCTCAGTCTTACAGATACAAGTTTCCCTTGTGATTACTAATCTCTTCAAAAGATCAAACTAGCCAGTAGCAGTTAAAAAGTTCAGTAACTATTGCTTTAAGGATATAATCTATGAAACTTAATACTTTACATATGTAAATTACAATCATTACTATATAGTTAGACTAGAATTCCTGCTTTACTTTACTCTTGCAAGCTTGTATCTTTATGCAGTCAACTTGTTACTGTAAAGGTTGCATCTGTTGAGTGCTTACCATATCCCAGGAATTTGTGTAAGCACTCCGCATGCATTCACATAATCATGTATGAGTAAGTGTAGTTTCTTAGAGGGCCAAGTGAGTCAGTGGGGCTGTCGACAGCATTCTAGACAATGGGTAACATTATGAAGCATGCGGATCTAAAAACAGCTCATTGACCTTCGCCTCATAAGTTCTTAGAATATTTCCCAGAGTTTATTCTTATCTTCTTTCCCTCCTCTTCCTCCCCTTCCATTTCCTCCTCCTGAGCAATAGGACACTTCGGAGTCTGTATTTCTATAGAAATGCAAGATTTTCCTGGTATAATTAATTCCTCTGTTACAGTAAAAGGGATGTTTTTCCTATAGCTTCTTAGGAAATATAGATTTGTTTAAGTGGCTTGCTTTGAATGTTAGCAGCCTGTACCCAGAAATGATTACAATAAGAAAAAGCAGTATTTTTCCCATTCATGCAGTAAGGATTCATTTTCAAACAGAGGGAATTCATTTATAATTCAACATTTACCTGTTTATGGTTGAGGGATATCTGGAAGTGTTATAAGAAGTGTAATTTGGGGATGTCTGAGTGGCTCAAACAGTTAAGCATCCAACTCTTAGTTTCAGCTCAGGTCATGATCTCAGTATCCTGGGATCAAGCCCCACTTTGGGCTCTGCACTCAGCAGAGAGTCTGCTTTAGGATTTCTCTCCCTCTCTCTCTGCCCCTCCTCCTGCTCCTGTGCATGCTTGCTCTCTCAAATCTTAAAAAAAAAGTGACTTGCTATTATGCCTTTTGTCATATAATAAAATATTTTACCTTTTGTGTCATAATACAGTTTTGTTACAATAAGATTTCATGGAGAAAAAGTTGAAATTTAGGAAGTTCTTTTACTTACAGTTTAAAATGTTCTATTTTAGATACCCAAAATATTTGGGTTGTAATCCTAGAAGCTAGCATTTCTTGGCACTACATAGAGACTAACCAAATGTAAAAGTGCTGTCTTTAATTTCTAGGACTTGGACATGTAAGCCATGAGTCTAGTTTCATAACACATAATAATTGCTTAAAGCATAGACTAAATGACCAGTTTCGAATATTGCTAAGCTAAATATTCTTAAAACTGTTTAGTCATTTGGAGTTCAGTCTCAGTTACTCGTATGAATGGATTTGTGATGATATAGTTTACCCATCGCAAATGATAATTCTCCTACTTTTCTCCACTTTATTTGAAGGATACTCAGTAGGAGCTGGTCATTTTCGGAGTCCGCATACGACTGAAGTAGTTGGAGGAGCCCCTCAACATGAACAGATTGGTAAAGTAAGAATTACATTTTTACCTTTATTTCTACACCAAGTTTCAACAGGATTGCTGGAAAGATGAGATAATAAAGGAGAAACTGCCAAAATGGTAAGAAGTGAAAGCTAGACATGGTGAGCCATGCTCTGCATTTCGTGGTGAAATTGCTTTCAGATAAAAATCTATTAGAATAGCTTTAAGGAGAAATTTTACAAGTCAAATGAGGCTTTTCTTTCTTATGAGTAAATTGTCCCTGAAATAAAACGATCTCAAGATGTCCAGGGAATGTATTAACTGGTTCACGTTTTTATAGACGACGGGATATTGAGACAGCTGCATGTTTTGGGGTTAAGACCAGAAAAGAAGATGTTTTTTCTGCTTCTGGTTTTTGTTATGTTATTGTGTAGACATTACTAAACTTTTCTGAGCCTTACTTTGAAAAGTGAGGCAAACAACACTTGCTGTGCCTTTGGGGATCGATACCATCATTTTGGAGAAGACAGTTTGGCAAGGAAGTCCTGTTAATGTGAAAGTGCTCCCCCTAAACCTTCTGAATCCTTCTGAAAAGGATTTTCAGAAGTCTATTTGAACTGTTAACATGTTATGAAAATTGATGTTTTGATCCCCTGAAAAATTTTTTTTTTTTGTAATGTGATAGCAGTCTGAGTTTTTCTAATTCCTTTCCCAATTGCAGGCATACATATTCAGCATCGATGCAAAAGAACTAAATATCTTACATGAAGTCAAAGGAAAAAAGGTAACATCTCCACCTTCAGTATCACTGAGGGCTTTTGTGAATAACCCTGCATTTTTTGTCCGCGGGTGACTGGATCTGGTTTTGTTTTCGGGCAGCTTGGCTCTTACTTTGGAGCTTCTTTGTGTGCTGTGGACCTCAACGCAGATGGCTTCTCAGACCTACTGGTGGGAGCGCCCATGCAGAGCGTCATCAGGGAGGAAGGCAGAGTGTTCGTGTACCTCAACTCTGGCTCGGTGAGTCTGATCCTTCCCCAGCTGGAGGCTGTTGATGGGATTACGAGAGAAACTGAAGCTCTTCTTCCAGAGTTCTGCATCTAGATTCTTAGGCTAATTTTACTGATGAAAGTAAGAACTCTGGTATTGTACTAAATGCTCTAAAAATGTAACAATGCTGGGGGATGGGAAGCTATTGATATTCCAGGAGCAGGAGATGAATTGTTCTGATATTTTCTACTCACATCTTGTCCTTCAAATAGTTGAAGTTTCTTGTAGCTTTATTATGATCCAAGTCTAATTTGAAAGAATGATTTTCATATGTCCCTCAAAATATGGATTTATTATTGGTTCTGTCATGAATGTCTTTAATTAAAAATATTACCAGAAGAAGATAAAGTATGAAATGCTTTTATTGACTTGAAAACAGTAAGAAACAAGATGTGTTTTGATAAAATGTTAGTTTGCACGATTTTTGTAGATGATATTGCTAATAAGAGTATAAAATGGGCATAGTTTATTCCAAAGTAGATACAGTAGTTGTAGAACTAGGTAATTACTGCATACAGTTGAGGTTTAAATTATGGGGGATATTGTGGAGTGGAAACTGACCACTTCACAATTCAGTTGAAAGAGTTTGGCTGACCTTATCTTGCCAGTCTTTCTTGGCATTAAATCAAAACAAAGAATTGATAGGGCCTTAATGGGGTTGTCTTGGTCTGTTCCTTTAATTAAAGAGTAAGAAGGGATTTGTGAGAAAATTGGGTCATTTCTTAAGGCACAGGATTTTTAATCAGGATACAACAAAGTAAAATCTGTTTCAAGAAGGTATTTGTAATCTTAATGGGTTTAGAGCATTTAGTAAGTTCCTATATTAAGCATCAGACTAAACATTGTACAATTCAAAAGAGAAATACTGTCTTATAAAGCTAAGAGATTTTCAGAGTTCCAAATGTAGAGCAAATATGTATGAACTGGGATTTCTATAGACTGTGTTTAAACTTAAATTTAGTAGTAAAGTCATACCATTTACAAAGTGATCATTCATATGCCCTTAATAGCAATATTAGGCTTTACTTTTTTTTTTTTTACATAGACATTTCACATTTCCCTATCCATAAATGGTCTTATATTAGCTACATCCTCATTCTGCATACTTTTCCTTCTCTTTGTAAAGTGTTTTCATAAAGCTTAGTTATAAAGTATCATATATACCTAAAATAGGGAGATATATGATCTTTTTTTCTCATCGAAATCCTAAGCAATTCTAACAAGAAAAGACAGATTAAAGTGTATTTCTTTTGTTTAAAGGACAAGTAAAGAGCCCTACCCATTAGGCTACCCTCTTGTTCTTTGCTCATGCCTACCCTGAGCCACCATTGTTGAACGACAGGGTAATTTCATAATTGACTTTAGCTTTTAACACCTCTGATATAGGTGACCTTTGTTCCCTTCTAACTTCCTATTTGTTAACTCTCTAAAATGGCACTAACCATTACCTAGCATTATATTACCTATTTATTCATCTGGTTTGATATTGTCTGTTCTTCTAATGGTGTATAGACACCATCTGGAGAGGAATCTTCCATCTTGTTTACTGCTGTTTCTTTAGGGTTTCAAAGGGTAGTGGAGAAATGGGTGCTCAGTAATTGTTTTTGAATGCTCAAGAAAGAATGATACTTGAATGAATCTTGCTTCTAACTACTTCTATTAAAATAACTCTCAGACATCCCCAAAGAACTCTTGGTCCCTGTTCTCTGACTGGAGAATACTTGAGGAGTGATCACCCCTTCTTGAAACCCTCTTCCTGGGAACTCCAGTGCCATTCCATTGCTTTAGGTCTGTACCTTCTCATCCTCCTGGAAGCCCTTTCTCCCTTTTCCCTTCATTAGGCATTTCCTTTGAGCCAAGCCCTCTTATTCCTTATTTCTTGATAAAAATCATATACTGTTTCTGGTGCCAATGATTCTGTCTATAGAGATGATTCGTTAAAAAAAAAAAAAAACACTTAGTGGCTATCTGAAATGGAACAAATACTATGAAAATAGCTGATAATAATCTTAGTCCTGACCTCTACGACCTCAGGTCGAGAAAAACATGAGAGTAAAGAATTGAATACAACATGGTAAATAGCACATTAGTAGCATGTACAAAACAGAAGAAGCAATTCACTGTGGTCGAGAAGGATTCACAGAGAAGTACTATTTGAACAAGACAAGTTTAGGAGTTTTGTAGTTGGAAAATAAAAGGTGAAGGGTGTTTCACAATCACAAGCAGAAGAATTTGAGTGTGATTAGGGGATGCTGAGTAGACTTGTTTAAGAAGAGGAGAGGATGCTCTATGATGAGTAGTGAGTAGATGTTTTTCTTACTACAAAGGAGTGACATGATCGGAGTTTGGAAAGAGGTCTGGTAGTTGTTCTTATAATGACTCATTATTGCAATATATTGAATGTCTTAATGTAGTAACTCATCTTCCAACTTAACAGATAGCAATTGACCAACTCATGTTTCATTGCTACAGTTCCATTGCTAAGGTTCCAAAGGCCAGCTTCATTTGTGCCAGCTCCTCTACTCTGAAACCTTCAGTAGCTTCCTACTCTCTAACTGAAAGTAAATTTCCCTTGGTATTCAAAATACCACACCATAACACTCCCATCTGATTTTTTTTTTATCTCCTTCATTATGCATACCTTTTATAATAGGCAAGTTCTTTGGAATTTTTTTTGCTGATAGTACTCTCTATATATCAAAATTATGTCCACCCTTCAGTAGCCACCTTGAAGATCATCTTTTATGAAATATGACCTTGCTTTCACAATTAGATATGCTGTCCTTGCTTCTTGATGATACCGAGTAGTTTGTACTTGAGCCATTTACATGTTTGTGCTAAGCCTTCCCTGTAACCGGCTTCTTCAGAAGGGGAGTATGTCTTATACACACACTGCCTTGTCCTCTTTTGCCTGTTCACTCTTTGCATAGTGTATTGCCTTTAGTAGGAACTCAATAAATATTTGCTAAATTGAATTATCAAAGTGATTTATTGGATTTTCAAAGCTAGGGATCATGAGTTTGACAATTTTTATGTCCTCTGAGCTCTAATCATACTATTATATGTGTTGACATACTTGATAAATATTTATTGAATTGAACTGAGATGTGTGTACTAAAGCTCAGTCTGTAGTTTGTCCAACTTGTTTGAAGCATTAGAAAAAAATCCATATCCAATTACAGTGGTAAATCATGTGTAAAGTTGTCAGGGAGTGTTATGATGACACTTTTCTCCCCTTTTCTGTCTAGGGAGCAGTAATGAATGAAATGGAAACAGAGCTCATTGGAAGCGACAAATATGCTGCAAGATTTGGGGAATCTATAGTTAATCTTGGTGACATTGATAATGATGGCTTTGAAGGTAATTAAAAGAATCTAATTCAGTATTTGATTTCTGCTTTGAAAATGATACACGGAAGAGAATATGAGTGGGGTTTTAGGTCATTTGCCTTTCTCCATAAAATGGAGCCAGAATACTACACTGTTTATTTTCTTTTTAGTGTTACATCTGACTGCTCCTCACTTGTCAGTTATTGATTCTTAATTGATCAGACTCCTTAGACTGTACTATTTGATGACAAGTAGGGTAAAGAAACTGACAAGACCCAACAGAGGCTAGCTGCAGAACTGGAGCAGAGTTCCAGAAGTTTCCTAGTGTTCAGCTGCTGTGCTGTGGAAGGATTTGGGGAAATGTGTGAGAGAGATTCCTAAGCGGTGATGAGGGGGCAACTGGTAGACCCAATAATAATGGCTACTTACCAACTGATATGGAAGCCTCTCCAGAATGGAGTAGATGATACTCTCATTACTGTGCCTGTTGCAAGGGTAGCATGCCTGCTCTTGAAATACCAGTGTCTACCAGCCTTCCCTCTTAAACATTGACTTTTTTCAGTCTAATACTGAGGCGTAACCAAGTCTGGTAAAATTCTGTATAAAATGGTGAATGGATTTGAGAGGAGTGTGTGTAATTTCTAGAGTTCAGCAAGTCAGTATTTTATGCCTTTAAGGCTCAGAATTGTCTTTCCTCTTGATATGGTCATTGGCAATTTGTTTATCGTGGTGTTAGGTCGAAATTTACTTGGATATTAGAAATAAATGAGGGACTACTTTAAGTAGTAGTTTAATTTCTGATACCTAAAGGCTTCATTCTATTTGAAATGCATAAAATGTGTTAGTCTTTGAGAGGAAAGTTAGCAGGTTATTGGATATATATTTTGAATATTTAGAATATATATCACATATTGAATATATGAACCCTATTAAATGTAAGAGTATAATTTGGTGTACAAATATTACCATTTCTAGGGTTTTTCTGTTTTAAAAGGAAAAGGAAATAAGTATATATTTTTATGGTTATTACAACACACATAACATTCTACATTAAAACTTCAATAAGGTTTTATTATGATACATTTCACAAAAATTGGCAATTCTGCTATTTACTGAACACTTACTTTGTGACAAATGTACCAGGCCAGGTATAGAGTATTTGCTATAATAAATGCAAACAAAGGAAATGGTGTCACCCTTTTCTATAATTTTATAATCAAATGGAGTATAAAATTAAGACATGAAAGAGAAAAAAACCTTAAGTGGTGAATTTAAGGATCCTGCCTAATATATGTGACTGAAGCCACATTTATGTCCCTTGACATTTTGTATGTATTATGAGATAATGAAATTCTTTTAAAAAGAAACATATAGGGGTTCCTGGGTGGTTCAGTTGGTTGAACATCTGACTCTTGATTTTGGCTCAGGTCATGATCTCAGAGTCATGAGATCTAGCTCCCTGTTGGGCTCGTACTCCACAGGGAGTCTGCTTGCCCCTCCCCCTTCTCTCTCTCTCTCTTTCTCTCTCTCTTGTGCTCTCTCTCAAATAATCATTTAGTAAAATACTTTGTTATGATTCCTTATATTTTGTTTTAATCAACAAAGTTGAGGTATAGCATTCACTGTTTTGAATGTACTAAAATAATATGCATGTATGTACACCTGAAGAATGATTGGGGGGGGCATCAAAATGTCAATGACAAACCTGAATTCCTAAAATCAAGAGTGGTAAAAATGTCATGGACAGTAGGCAGTTTTATCAGTCCAGTCGCTGGGAGAATCCCAAGCAGTTTTCTGTTGGTGTAAGAGGGACAGAAAGTGTTCTGTCTGTGAGACTTGAGAAGAGGAACTGAGGGGAGGACCCGAAGAGCACCAGGCATTTTTGCAGAATGCATGTGAGAACCGAGGCTTTGGACAGCACTTGTGTCCTGGAGTCCTCAGTTTTCCACTCCTAAAGGTAATGCCTTTATGTCTGGAAGATTATTATTCAACCGATTATTTCTAATATTTCAGCATATTCAACATATTTAGAATAATTTGTGCTATTTCCTTACTTCAGTGCATGTTTGCATCACTTTTTCTACTTGTCACTTCTAATTATTTTTAGTTTTACTGAGATGTAATTGAAATACAACGTTGTATAAGTTGATGGTGTACAACGTAATTTATGTATATAGTGCAAAATGATTACCACTATGAGTTTAGTTAACATCTGTTCCTTCACATAGTCACAGTTTTTTTTTCTTGCGACAACTTAGGATCTACTCTCTTAGCAACTTTGAAATAAACAGTGTCTATAACTCTAGTCATCATGATGTATGTGTAATCTCAGAACTTTGTCTTAGAACTGGAAACTTGTATCCTTTGACCTCCTTCCCCTCACCTCTAGTGGCCCCCAATCTGATCTGTGTCTGAGTTTCCTTTTTTTTTTTTCTTTCTTTTTTTTTTCTTTCTTTTTTTTTCTTTCTTTTTTTTTCTTTCTTTCTTTTTTTTTTTTTAAAGATTCCACATCTAAGTGAGGTCATGTAATATTAGTCTTTCTCTGACTTACTTCACTGAGCAAACTGTCATCTGGAACATACATGTTGTCACAAAAGGCAGGATAATTTCTTTTTTGGGGCTGAATAGCATTTTTATTTTGCTAGTGAGAAAACATTTTGTACATTTTAGATGTTAACAAGCCCCTGATTTTTCTAGGGTAAATGGATGAAGTTACTTTTTGTTCATGGCAGGATGTGTGGGATGGTATAGAAAGGGAATAAAATCTCACCTTTTCTTTTTCCTTCCACCTCCAGGCAGAGATGCAAATCAGAGTTAATGTCCTCTTCCTAATATGCACCCTTTTATGGTTTTTTCCGTAGCAGACCTAAGTTATTTTTGCATTCGTCATATTCTGTCCTTTTTTTGGTATGAAAAATATGAATTTCCTGTGTATTTAGAAAAGCAAAGCAAACCATTTTCTAAGGAGAATCAGTTTGGCATCATTCTGGCATAAAAATTGCATCAGGAGGATGAGGAAGTTAGGGAAAAGGTATGTGAATGGACCTACATGACAGATGTGCCCGGCAGACAGCATTCAGAATTTCATCTCTAAAAGAGATTGGGCAAAATCATTTCTTTTTGGTTTAGGTTTTTCACCTTGAGGATTTTTATGTCACTTTTAGACTGTATGTTTGAATAATTTTTGACCTGAGCCATAAGAAAATTCTATAATTTTAAATTATAAGCTGCATTATTACTTTATGTACCTCTGAAATAAATATTGATACATTACCAAATCACGAATCGAGCAGTTCTTTGACACAGAACAGGAGAAGTTTTCAGGAGAGGAGAACACTGGGCACAGCTTGTAGAGTTGTTGATTCCATAGAGCGTGGGGATGGGTGAGCACAGTCTTTGGAGCCAGACTGTAGGGTCTGCGTCCCAGCTTCTTCACATTCGAGCTCTGGGACCTTGAGCAAGTTACACTCTGTGCCTCTGTTTCCTCATCAGATTTGGGATTAAAAAGTACTTACTCAGGGGTGCCTGGGTGGCTCAGTGGGTTAGGCCTCTGCCTTCGGCTCAGGTCATGATCTCAGAGTCATGGGATCGAGCCCCGCATCAGGCTCCCTGCTCAGCGGGGAGCCTGCTTCCCCCTCTCTCCCTCTGCCTGCCTCTTTGCCTACTTGTGATCTCTGTCTGTCAAATAAATAAATAAAATCTTTAAAAAAAAAAAAAAAGTACTTACTCAATAGAGTTATTCGAGTTACAGGAGTTAGTACGTGTGAAGTCCCTAGTGCGGTGCCCATGTTGTCATAAGCATTGTGGGTTAGCTGATGTTAAAATTACTGTGATTATACCAGGGGTAATTGTTGTAGTTTACACTAACAATGAAATAAAATGTTCAGATGGAAAGTAGGAAAAATTGTCAAAAATGTCTGTTTGTTCTGTATGTTGTGTACCAAATGGATTTTCACAGGCATTAAAAGAAACAAAGAAACAAGCAAAGAAAAACCAACGTGTACTTTCCTTAAAATGATAATTATTGCTAAAATTTTAATATTTTCTATAACTGATACAAATATAATCTTAGCAGAGTTTAGATCTAAATATAAGATAGGAAAAGACTGAATGCAACCCCCATATCTTCTGCTTGGAATGACCTTGACCTGGGCCTTTTTTATATTTCATTTGAAAAGGCCCATTTGTATTGTTTCAAGATATGTGCCCTACATCACTATGGCTAATAACTGTTACTGCAAGAATTTCTGCATATCAGCCCCTTTGTAGCCCAGGCTTAACGATCTTTACATCCTAGTTACTTGGGATGCAGCCACACTGGCCATAGTATAAACCAGCCGTGAGGAATGGCTTCCGTAACTGCTGTCTTCAATGGCCACAGGCCACTTCTCCTCACACTCCTTTCCTTACCTCCCTCTTCTTCTCCCCCTCTCCCTTTCTGCTCCTTCCTCTGATGTTCCTGTGAGTAGTTAGTCTGTGCATATGTGGCTCCATGTATTTCAAACTCACCGCCATTGTTCATGGGTGCCATATTGCCCCTTTGTCACCTGCCATTATGTGCCTGCTGCCTCTGTCTAAACTGCCTTCACCCAACTTTCACTGGTCAATACCTGGGTCTCAGCCTGGGCTTCCTCTTCTATGCGAAGCCTTCCCTCATTTCCACCACCATCTCATATGTGGTGTTTTTATTCTGGTTTTACCTCCCTTCTTCCCTGCAAGGCTATAGTTCCTGTTCATGGTACCCCTTGTATGACCAGTGCCTGGAAAATGCCTAGAATATAGTAATTATCAGTGAATTATAAGTCAATGAATGGGTATAGTTGTATATGAGAATTTAAAATAACTTGCACAGATCAAGAGAGCAGCCTTACTATGTCTAAACAATAAACATAAGGTATGTCTATCATTTGCTTTTTGATATTAGAATAGTATAGCATTTGGAGCACCTGGCTGGCTTAGTTAGTAAGACATGTGACTCTTGATCTTAGGGTTGTAGGTTCGAACCCCACTTTGGGTGTATAGATTACTTAAAATCTTCAAGAGGCTCAATTGGTAGAGCATATGACTCTTGATCTCAGAGTGGTAAGTTTCAAGCCCCAAACTGGGCACGGAGCTTACTTAGAAAAGATTTTCTTTTTTAATTGTACAGCATTTGGCATAGAACTATATTTAAGGAAGGTTTTTATTCTCATTGAAATAGCGGTCAGAAATGACCACTGTAGTTGTTAAAAGTTTTAAATTTGATAAACTAGTAAATATTGACTTTATGAAAGTAAACTTTCTCTATTTTAGTTTCTATTGAAGTAATAAGAACATATTACATGAATATACCCAAATAAATAGACCTAATACCTTGTAACACTAGTGAAATGCTCTTGCAACCATAAAATATTATATTTCTCCTGGGTGTTATATATTTATTGCCCTTAAGAAACCATGTCATTCATAGTTTGTTTTCTCTTGCTTATGTCACTCCATTAACTCTTTATTTTTTCTCCTGGCATCATAATCTGACATGAATTCCTTGTCATAAAAGTGATGTAGTCATTACTTTACAGAACAGATTCGCTTTCCAAAATCGAGTTTGCATGTACGTGTGTAAATACAGATATCCTTAAAAAATATCTTAATTACTTTCATTAGAACAGGGATTTAGAAGTGATGTTGCAGATAAAGTAGAACCCAGAACTCAAAATAGAGAATCTTAGGGTTATAATATTCACAGATGATAATTTATGTGCTGGGGTTATCCTATGCTGAGGGTGAGTTTTTCTCTTATGATCACATGCTATAGGTGAGGGACCGGAGACTGGAGACACAGTGAGGTTAGGAAATGGTCCCCGGGTGCAGGGTGGTGGGTGGGTAGGGGGGGTAGTGGGCTGGTCAGGCTTTGGTGGTTCGGCCGGAGAACCCATGCCCTTAACCATCCTGTTAGAGGGCCTCTCAGACCCTTTCTCTCTGCTGCTTCCATGCACTGATGATTCTGCCCCGTCCTATGCGTTGTTCTGATGATACTGTGTTTTGCGATACTTTTTTCTGTCTAGTGAGGAAAGGTTTTTGTTTTTTTTTTTTTTTTTTTTTTTGGATAAAGTATTTTCTTTTTTTGTTTTTAGGGATTTTATTTATTTGACAGAGAGACACAGCGAGAGAGAGAACACAGGCAAGGGGAGTGGGAGAAGGAGAAGCAGTCTTCCTGCTGAGCAGGGAAACCAGATTGGGGGGGTGGGGGTGTTGTTCTATCCCAAGACTCTGGGATCATGACCTGAGCCTAAGGCAGACACTTAACGACTGAGCCACCCAAGCATCCTGATAAGGAATTTTCTTATGTGATATGAATTAAGTATGAAAGTTAGTTTTTGGAGTTGCGTTCTTTGTACTAAGAATTAATTTTTTTCTGCCATTGAAATTCTGGAATAGATGTCGCTATTGGAGCTCCGCAAGAAGATGACTTGCGAGGTGCTATTTATATTTACAACGGCCGAGCAGATGGAATCTCGCCAGTGTTCTCACAGGTAGAATACTACTGTTTCCAAAGGAAGCCCTGATAATAAATAGTTTCTGAAACTTCCAGGGTTAATGTGGATTTATTTTTCTTAATTTGTTCTTTTGAGTATTTAATATATTCTATTTCACCCTTATCTTATAATAACAGTAGGTGGTCTCATTTTGAAGGTCATTAATAACTCTTTGGAATCACTTTTTTCCATAACTAAGAGTTTGGTTACATCCATTCTCGTTTGTTTTTAATCTACTGAAGATTTTCTTTGCATTCTGCAAATTTATGTTCTGAGATGGTATCTGTCCTGTTTTGAATAAGCCCATGTGGCTTTAATGAGCTGTCTTGCCTGGTGCCTAAAGCCCCATGTTTCAGGGAGGTCTCATCTCACTGGGAGAGTGAGCACATGTTACTGTGTTCCTTTCAGGGCACAGCTCAAGATGGGAGCTTCTAATAAAGTTCCCTGATCTAATTCTGACCTCATTTTTGTCTCTTAACAAATCAGGCCATTTCAGTGCATAGAAAACACTCCATACTCATGCAGAAAAGATTTTCTAGAGACACTTTTAGGGAAATATTAGCTAATTCTGTAATTTTTGAGGGAGCAAAAATCAGCAAATGGTTCTCCATATTCAACATGAAAAATCTATACTTGTCTAGTAAAAATAACTGATTTTCTTAGCATGGATACCACGCTGATACATGGAAATCAGTATCTGGATGTGAAGTTAGACCTATGGAATAGGAAACACATGTCTGACTTCAGTTGTCGTGTGCTAGGAAACAGTTTGGCTCAATAGGGAGACTTTCATCATAAGCCTGAGTAGTAGGCTCCACTCAGTGATTATGCACGTCTCCTTTTCCAAATTACTTGTTTGGTTATTCATGTTCATCTGGGAGATAAATACAGAGCCTGAAAGGAGAATGGGGAGAGGGAGTCAAGACTGTTTAAGAAGATCTGTACTATATGATTTTCTCTTTGTGATTTTTTTTTTTTCTAGTCACAAAGTGATTTTTTTTTTTCTCTAGTCACAGAGTAGATGTCACCTGTCCAGTTCAAGCTGGAAACTTTTGTTGCTCTTTGATGCATGTGTTTGACTTGAATGCATTTTGTTACAAAATGTATCTGGGTGTTTTAAAGCTCATTGTGTAACTAAATCATTGCTTCTCTGAGATACTAGGTGCTCAAAAACTGCTTCCTACTCAACTTACCTATTTTTCAGAGAATTGAAGGACTTCAAATCAGCAATTCATTAAGTATGTTTGGACAGTCTATATCTGGACAAATTGATGCAGATAATAATGGATATGTAGGTGAGTATAAAATTGTATTTCATAAATTGAAACGAGTTCTGTCATGGATGTTGCTTTATTGCAAAGTACAGAAAACTGGTAGAGAAGAGCTCTAATTTACTGGTAATTTATTTCCTTCATTTTTAAAGCTCTTGGATTCAAGATGGGTCAGAAACTATCCAATAGTTTCTCAGCTTCACACTGTTACTTGACATTTTATTCTTTGTTCTTGAGAAAATGAAAAGCACCCATGGAAATAAATCAAACATAAGATGCTAAAAAGAAAGGCTTTTTTTTTTTTTGTACTTTGAGAGGAGATTTCTGGGTGAATGTTTATAGTTTAAAACTGGAATTTTTAGTAAGCTTATCTTTTTATATCCTATTTTTATCCTAAAGTTTGTTTATATAGTAAGGGGGTGAATATTATTATAAATGAATAGACTCAGACAAATGTGGAATGAGTCCTAAGGCGTAAGTATATCTTTTCTAATTAATTTTTCTGTAAATAGTATTTGATACAGTCAAAAGGTGATATGTAGTTAAGTATTTATGGCTGAAAAACAATTCTCTTTGACTAATGATGTTCGTTAATCTGTTGTTTTTCCTCCTCCAGATGTGGCAGTTGGTGCTTTTCGGTCTGATTCTGCTGTGTTGCTAAGGTAAGGTTGATGCATTTCACTGCTTAATGACAATTGTACCTAATTGTAAATGATGGGAGGCAATTTTTAAAATCAGCAGTGGTGGTGACCTCATAATGCTTTTTTTTTTGGTATTCTGAGATTTCATTGCACTTTAGAACACTCCTTCCACCTTACAGGGCATTATAATCAAACAAATCATCAGGCAAAGTCAACATTTTTCAGCATTTAAATGAAAATTTCTCTTGATTCATGCCCAGAAATGTAATTGAGCATTTATGCACATAGTATTAATAAAGCAATTTTATGAAGTTACTTGGACAATGGCAGCTGACAAAACACATGCAGTTGTTTTTTTTTTTTATAGTATTTTGCCTCCACTTTTTTTTTTTTTTACTTTTATTTATTTATTTGACAGAGAGAGAGATCACAAGTAGGCAGAGTGCCAGGCAGAGAGAGAGGGGGAAGCAGGCTCCCTGCTGAGCAGAGAGCCCAATGCGGGGCTCGATCTCAGGACCCTGAATGAGATCATGACCTGAGCCGAAGGCAGAGGCTTAACCCACTGAACCGCCCAGGTGCCCCATGCAGTTTTTTTCTTAAGGAAAAATAATTCTGCAGCTAATATTGTTAATTTTATTTCCTTCTTAGGACAAGACCTGTAGTGATTGTCAAAGCTTCCTTAAACCATCCTGAGTCAGTAAATAGAACAAATTTTGACTGTGTTGAAAATGGATTGCCTTCTGTGTGCATGGATCTAACACTCTGTTTCTCATACAAGGGCAAAGAGGTTCCAGGTTATATTGGTAAGTTTAAGTGTAAATCCTTACAGGATTTACCCTGAGTGTGCGCTCCGCTCGCTTATCTCGTGGTCCTCTTCTGAGCCCTCCCTGTGTCTTGCCCTAGAAGCCAGTACACCTTTCTGCCTCATCTTTTGAGTTCTCATGTTGTTCTTACCAATGAGTGGGGCACCGTAGGAGGCTATAATTGTCTAGAAGTTACAACAAGAAAAGCAGGAGTATCACTTGCTATATTAGGGTGAGCTAAACTCAGCTTCATAGGTAATATATCCTTAGAAAAGAAAGAACATTCCCACAGCTTCTCCACCATTTATTTGGGCTCCTTTTATAGCTGGAGCTGACTTAAGTTGGGAGCCCAGAGAGGGAGACGATTCTTGTCTTTGTATTTTATCCTTTGAGTAATTGAAGAAGCATATTTCAAATCTAGACCCCGATTCTAATTTCCATAAATAACACACATCTCTTAAGGATTTTCTGTGACTGTCCGCTCCTGAGAGTCCTGTCCTTTTCCCTTTACACAGGTAGCTCTCAGTTATCTGCCATGGAGAAAGTAGCATTGAGATGGCTCACGCAAAATTGTGGTTACTGTCAAATCACAGATTCATGTCTTGGTGAATATTGCATTTTTTCTAGCAGGTTACACGCCTACTTATGTTATACTTAAGCTAATAATAGAATAACTAATGAAACTAGCCAGTGGTAGGAGAGAAGCATACCTGGGTTTATTATTTGGACGTTAATAATATCTAAAGTTCATGAGCCACACAAGACCTATCGAGTTGATTGCATTTGTGACCCTGTAGGCTCTCATCAACTAAACATCATGAAGGGCAGAGTGCAAATCCTGAGCTAAATGATGGATACATAATTTCAGGGGTCTCAGCTTTAATTGGCCTGTAATGAAAAGTACAGAATGAGCTTAGTAGATCTACTTAAGATCAGACTCCTGTTGAATAGTGCACTACAGAAGTCCTGGCTAGAGGCATGGTGGTAGGACAATGGGCAAAACCTTAATCTAGGGTTACAGATCCAAGAAGTGACAGTGTCAGAGTATGGCCCCAGTAACACAGTCAATACACCTTAAACAGATACCACTGTTTCCCTTTATGCAAAATCAGTGCTTGTCGTACCACCAATTCCATTGTGACGAGACATTTTTAAAAATGGTTAAACAAATATATGAAATGCATAAATAATCACAGCACTGTTACAAATACAAGCTTTACTGTTGCATAAAATGAGTCCTTGGGAGAAATACTTCATGTGGTAAGCATGTTTCATAAAATCAGTATGTTTTGCCACTTGAAGTGGGTTTTTATTCACTATTTTGTTTTTTTAATTTACTTTTTGTGTGAACTTACGGTGATGAATTGTAGGTAGCTGACTCCATTGCAGCTCCACTCTGAGGCACTGGATCTCCGCAGTTGTAATTTTGAGGCCAATTGATTTGGACTTCGTTATTCACTTTCTAAATAAAAGGAAGGTTAAAGATTTATTTGAAATTTGTAGGAGTAAGATAGGTTTTAGATTTATGTTTCCTTGAAGTAAGTAGACATTACTCCTAAAATGTGAATGAATGCTTCAGGAATTCAATAAAATACCATTTCTGAGTTATTGCTTCTGTATGAGTGACCTCTCAGCAGACTATTAGATGTAGCTTGTTTTGCAAAGAACCCTAATAGATTTAAAAAATGTCTCTGACTTTCTTGGTAATATCTGGCTTGGAATTTTCTTGGCTGCTTGTTAATTTGACTTATTTTGCTAATTGAGGATATTCTTTAGCAGATGATTATGTACTGTGTCAGATTTGGAGTACATCTTACCGGGCTGCCAGAATATTGAGAGAATGTCTGTATTTTGCCCAAATCAACACCGGAAGGTCAAACTGGAAACCAATAAAAACACAGAGGATACTAAGCAGGGTCTGGGGCTGGAAAAGGAGACTTCTTTCAACTGTTTTATATAGGTTTGACTTTTGAACCAGTTGTTCACATTACATTTTAAAAAATAATAGTAAATAGCAACCCCTCAAATTAGGAACAAACAGAAAGAAATGAACCTAACCGTATACAAAATTAGTTCCGTAACCACACAAGGTAGAATAATCTCAAGTGGGCTTTGAGTGCTGTGTTCTGTCTATGTGTCCTTATTTGGATATTCTAAGGACAAAAGGACTCCAGAGAAATCTGAAACTTTACTCAGAACTTTTATTGGTAGTCACAGTTTTAGTATTGTAGTTTTGAAATATTTATATGTCGGAAAATTAAGTAAATAACTAAAGATGTTAATAGTTAAAAGTAGAAACCTAGAGAGAAGCTTATAAATCTTTATTACAATTTTAGCAATTTGTAATTTTTTAAATTGTTTCCTCTTCCATATTTTAGTTTATTTTTTAAAAGACACTTAATGAGAATTTATTTCCAGTGTTGGATATAATTTTGACTATTTTCAGTTCAAAAATAATAATGCTTTTAGATGATTATATTGATTGCAACTCTTTCTACATTTTGCAGTTTTGTTTTATAACATGAGTCTGGATGTGAACCGGAAGATAGACTCTCCGTCAAGATTCTACTTTTCTTCTAATGGAACATCTGATGTGATCACAGGCAGCATAAAAGTGTCAAGCAGAGTAGCTAACTGCAGAACACATCAAGCATTTCTGCGGGTAATGTAACCTCCTTTTTTATGAATGCATATGTAAACTTCAGTATTATCACTGTGGTAGAAATCTTATTGCATTGGTATCCTTTTGTAAAATGTGGTTATAAGCAAGTGTGATCCCCACCCCTCCGGCTGAACTAGCTGACGTGTTTGTTGTTCCAGAGTTAAAATGTTCGACAATCCTGGGACCTGGATCATTCCGAGTCCACTTTTTGCATCGTCCTTATTTCACATTTATCACACTTGACTGCATCACTCTTTTTTAAAGATTGGCCTTTTCCTTCCCACGATTGCTTTGTCCACATCCCTGTTTATACACTTCCCTAGAAATGTACATGCTGAGTGGCACTGCTGAGCCTCATGCCTGTTACCCTGGTAGGGTTTTGCGGGGATGGTGAGAGAGGAGGCGGGGAAGTTGGTTTGTTTCTCATGTGACTCTAGGGAAGCAGAATCCACCATGACCGCTTTTGGATGTGGTCTTTGTCTCTGTGCCAGCATTGTCCATGATGTCAGTGGGAACTTGCGCAGTTGCAGCCTGATGGGGATCATCTGCAGGCTAGGACAATGGCTTTCAGGATGTCTGGGGGTATGTCCTGCCAAAGCACAGCCAATTTCATGTTCCTTTTATTAAAGCACTCATTCCCAACTGATCGTCCTGTTCCTTGCCTTGGTCAATTTTTTTTTTTTTTCCTCATATGAAGCATTGCCAGGTCTTTTCTATTAGGGAATGGTGTACTTCATCAGAAAATCTATTGTCACAAAAAAAGCCAAACTATTCCCAGGAGCCCTTTCTGGGATTTCAAATGGTAGACTCAGCTTAGAACTTAATTTTCCCTGAGATACTTCTTTCCAAGCAAATGCAAACAAGCGTCAAGATTCTAACACCATTAAATGCTAAGAGTAATAATCCCTGTGTTGTTTTCCTCATTTCCCTTAACAGTTTTTATTATAGCATTAGAATAAATCTATTAGATGGTTGAGAGCCAGAAGTATATAATATTACTAATATAACCATTATTTATATGGTAGGGATTAAAGAAGGTTTTGTTTTGTTTTGTTTTGTTTTTAAATCCCCTATAGCTGTGATTTTACTTAGGTTAGTCAATCTTGGACACTATCGTTGAGACCATTTTCAAGGCAGTAAAAGGGCCAACATTAGACATTCACAAAGAAACCTATTGTGTTGAATTTGTATCGCTAACTGGAAATTGACCTGACTTCTTTAGTCCTGTGTTTCTTGGCATTGTTCTAACAAGTAAGGATTCCACAAAATTGTACGTTCTTATCAGAATGATTTGCAGTGCAAAGCACAAGTTAGCAGAGGTCTGTGTTGTCGACACATACTTGTAGTGTTACCCTGGTATCGTGGTCCCAGGTCACAGCCATTGACTTTTCGACCATACTGTCAATGCCAAACAAAGGCATTTACCTCTGGGATTGGTATAGAGTGAGGTGTTTTTGTTTTTTTTTTTAAGGTAACTGAGGCCATTATTAAAATGAAAACAGCTCTAGTTGTGATGTAGAAAGATACAGGAATACTCTGAGTACATTTTCCACCCCACCAGCGTGGTAGCTGAAACTGTTCAGAAACATGAACACTGTTAAACTTCTCCAGTCCAGAAGAATGGGACAGAAACTGATACTTTTCTGCCTTCTTAATGATTGTAGAAAAGATGAGCAGTGGTCAGGATGCCTGGATTGTCCCTTTGTTCCATAAAACGTGCCAAGTATCAGGAGAGTTAAGGAATACTGTGCTTCAGCTTCCTTTACAGTGAAATGAGGTAGAGTTGGTGATTATGTAGCCAGACCCATGGCCACCGCATCTCAGGGCTCTCTGCCTGCCAGCTGGGCACGCTTTCCTTGTGTGGTTGTTCCCATTGGTCATACCAGTGAAGCTCCAAGTCTCCGTCCACATGATTAATTCCGTAGGTATTTGAGTACCAGTGCTGCATCAGGTTCCCTTGAAACACTTGGGTGTAGCAGTGAATGAAATATAAAAAGATCACTACCCTCATTGAGTTGACAATAGAATGGAGTGAGACAAACCATGTGGTAAATATGTAAATTTTACAGCGTTTTAGAAGGTAAGGGTGATTGAAAAAGGAAAAAGTGCAGTGTACAGGAAATTGTGGAGTGCTGGGAAAGAAATGAAGGGTGCGTTTTATTTATTGAAGTACAGTTAACATACAGTGTTATATTAGTTTTAGATGTTGAATATAACAATTAACAATTTTATACATTAGTGCCCATCATGATAAGTGTATTCTTTTTTAAATTTTAACTCCCAAATAGTTAACCTACAGTGTTAAATTGTTTCAGGCGTACCGTATAGTGATTCAACAGTTCCATATATTACTCGGTGCTCAGAAGATAAGTGTCCCCTTAATCCCCTTTATCTGTTGCATCAACAGTTCCATATATTACTGGGTGCTCAGAAGAGAAGTGTCCCCTTAATCCCCTTTATCTGTTGCACCCATGCTCCCAGCTTCCCTCTCTCTATTCTCTTTACTTGAGTCTGTTTTTTATTTCTCTTTTCTTTGTTTTCTTTCTTAAAATCCATAAATGACTGAAATTGTATGACATTTGTCTTTCTTGGACTTATTTTCTTTAACATTATACTCTCTAGGATCATCCATGTTGTTATAAATGACAGAATCTCATTCTTTTTTATGGCTTAGTAATATTCCTCTGTGTGTGTGTGTGTGTGTGTGTGTGTGTGTGTGTGTGTACATGATACCTTTATCAGTGAACAGTTGGGTTGCTTTCCTGTCTTGGCTGTTGTTAATAATGCTGCAGTAGTAGGGGTATATATTTTTTTGAATTAGTGTTTTCATTTTCTTTGAGTAGATACCCAGCAATGGAATTACTGGATCATAGGGTAATCCTATTTTTAACTTTTCAAGGAACATCCACACTGTTTACCACAATGACTGAACCAGTTTGCATCCCCACCAACAGTACACAACGGTTCCTTTTTCTCTACATCCTTGCCCGTACTTGTCATTTCTTATTTTTTTTATTCTAGCCACTCTCACAAGATTAAGATTCTGATTCTAGCCCTATCTATCTTTTATGGGGGTTTTTAAAAAGATTTTACTTATTGACAGTGAGAGCAAGAGAGCACAGGCAGGGGCAGCAGCAGAAAGAGAGGAAGAAGTAGGCTTCTGGCTGAGCAGGGAGTCCGATGTAGTGCTTGATCCCAATTCTATAGTTTTTATAGAGTCTTTAGAGTGTTCTCTATGTAGAATCATTTCATATGCAAATAGTGGAAGTTTTACTTTTTCCTTACCAATGTGGATGCCTTTTATTTATTTTCCTTGTCTGATTGCTGGGTAGGACTTCTCATACTATGTTGAGTAAAGGTGGTGAGAGTAGGCATCCTTGTTTTGTTCCTGTTCTTAGAGGAAAAGCTTACAGTTTTTCACCATTGGGTGTAATTTTAGCTGTGGATTTTTTTTGATATGTCATTTATAATCTTGAGGTATGTTACCTTTAAATCTACTTTTTTGGGAGTTTTTATCATGAGTGAATGTTGTACTTTGTCGGAAGCCTTTTTTCTGCATCTGTTGAGATGATCATGTAGTTTTTATCCTTTAATTATTGATTCGATTTACCACACTGGTTGGTTTGTGAATATTGAACCACCATTGCATCTCTGCAATAATAATTTACCACTTCATTTTGGTAAATGATTTTTTTAATGTATTGCTCAGAATTTGGTTTGCTAATATTTTGTTGAAGATTTTTGCATCTGTGTTAATCAGGGAAACTGGCCAGTAATTTTCTTTTTTGTAGTGTCTTTCTTTGGTCTTGGTATCAGGCTAATGCTGGCCTCATAGAATGAATTTGGAAGTTTTACTTCCTCTTCTATTTTTTTGGAATAGTTTGAGAAGAATAGGTATTAACTTTTCTTTAAATGCTGGGTAAAATTCATCATGAAATCCCCTGGTCCTGGACTTTTGGTCGGAGTTCTTTGATTACTGATTCAATTTCTCTGCTAATAATCCGTCTGTGCAAATTTTCTATTTCTTTCTGATTCAGTCTTGGAATATTACATGTTTCTAGGAATTTGTCCCTTTCTTATATGTTTGATTTCTTGGCATATAATTTTATCATAATATTCTCTTAACAATCCTTTATATTTTTGTGGTATCAGTGGTTTCTCCTTTTTCATTTCTGATTTTATTTTGGTCTTCTCTCATTTTTTTCTTGGTGAGTCTGGCCTAGAGATTTACCAGGTTTGTTGACCTTTTCAAAGAACCAGCTCTTTATCTTTTCTATTGTTTTGTGTTTTTTAGTCTTTATTTCATTTGCTTGAGCTCTCATCTTTATTATTTCCTTCCTTCTACTAGTGTTGGGTTTTGTTTGCTCTTGTTCTTCTAGCTCCTTTAGGTGTTTGCTTGAGTGTTTTTCTTGTTTCTTGAGGTATGTCTGTATTACTATAAAATTTCACTCTTAGAACTGCTTTTGCTGCATCCTAAATATTTTGGACCATTGTGTTTTCATTTTCATTTGTTTCCATGTATTTTATTTCCTCTTTGATGTCTTGGTTTACCCATTCATTATTTAGTACCATGTTATTTAGCCTCCATGTGTTTGCATTTTTTCCAGTTTTCTTGTAACTGATTTCTGGTTTCATATTCTTGTGGTCCACGAAGATGCATCATATGATTTCAGTCTTATTAAATTTATTGAGACTTGTTTTGTGACCTAACATGTGATGTCACCTGGAAAAGGTTCCATGTGCACTTGTAAACAATGTATATTCTACTGATTTTGTATGGAATGTTCTATATGTATCTGTTAGGTCCATCTAGTCTAATGTTTCATTGAAACCACTATTTCCTTGTTGATACTGTGTTTGGATGATCTGTCCAGTGATATACATGGAGTGTTAAAGTCCCCTGCTATTACAGTATTCCCATTAGTTTCTCCCTTTTTATGTGTTAATAATTGTCTTATGTATTTTTGTGCTTCCATTGTTGGGTGCATAGATACAATTGT